ATAAGAGCTGGAAATTGACTTTCTTTATCTTACAAAAAATTAGTATAGACAAATTAAAACCACATAAGCAAAATAGTATCAATCTTGTGATCTAGATGAAAACATTGGCATTTTGACTGCTGTTTCTGGGATTTGTTGTAGACCAAAATGGTCTAAAGAAATGCATTGTGCCCACGAATGTGATGGAACAGGACCTACAGCAGGAAGATTTTATGAGAAGAGACTTCAGCAGAAACAGGTGATGGCTCAATTGGTAAAGCCACTTATTCTCAAGTCTGACACCTTAGTTCTATTCTGGGAACCCACAAGACGAAGGGAAGAAACCAACTCACTTCGGTAATCAGTGTTTTATAAATTAAATTGGATATGCTTGTTCACATTCTTTAACGCTCAGTGCTTGAGGCCCTATGGTGAGTTTGTCCATGGACATCTCAGTTCAGGTGAGCCCTATTTCCGGTGCTCAAAGTCTCAGAACTTTTCTCTTTCTTTCTGTTCCTCCCCCACCCCCCGGTCCTTCTAGACAGGGTTTCTATCCCTGGCTGTCCTGAACTCACTCTATAGACCAGGCTGGCCTCAACTCAGATCTGTCTGCCTCTGCCTCCTTAGTGCTGGGATTAAAGGCCTATGCCACTACTGCATGGCCGACTTTTTCCTTTGTGTGTGTGTGTGTGTGTGTGTGTGTGTGTGTGTGTGTGTATTCATCTCACACACAGAAAAACGCTTATTTTTAAAATTTGTATCTATTACATTCTCATCATTTGAGGAAGTAGATGTGTGTGGGCTGTTGTTGTAACAGGTAGAATGCAAAGATTGAACAGGCTGCCGGGTGGTAGTGGTGCATGCTTTTAATCCCAGCACTCAGGAGGCAGAGGCAGGTGGATCTCTCTGAGTTCGAGGCTAGCCTGGTCTACAAGAGCTAGTTTCAGGGCTGGAGAGATGGCTCAGTGGTTAAGAACACTGACTGCTCTTCCAGAGGTCCTCAGTTCAATTCCCAGCAACCACATGATGGCTCACAGTCATCTACAATGAGACCTGGTGCCCCCTTCTGGCATTCAGGCACACATGGAAGGAATGTTGTACACATAATAAATTAAAAAATAAAAAAAAAAGAAGCTTTAAAAAAAGAGCTAGTTTCAGGACAGGCTAAAAAGCTACAGGGAAATCTTGTTTCGAAAAACCAAAAAGAAAAAAAAAACAGAAAAGAAAAGAAATAAAACAGGCTGCTCCTCCTGATCACTGCTCTTTGGCATTAGTGAAACCATGGCACCAGCAGGGCCAGCTGTGCAGGGTTCTTGCTCCCTCTAGTGGCAACGTTTAAGGAAGATGTGTCCTGAACTTGATGCTCCTAGTTCCTATCCTGGAGCAGCAGAACATGAGAACAGATTGGCGCACATCTCCGAAAACCCACCTCGACTCCCAGGGAGCTGGGACTGCAAGGAAGAATTGATGAAGTTCCCTCCACTGATTCATCAAAGCCACAGAGGATCCACAGCCTGACGTGTGAGTGGTGCACAGAGGCCCAGGCAGCACGTACCAGCTGCTCCACAGATGGCTGAGCCTGAGTGATGTTTGCTATAGAGGGAGTGTGGAATTATGGGAATGAGGAAAGATTTCCTTCAGGAAACCAGAACATACCTGCCCTCAGCACCTAACCCCTGAACAACTTTAAACTTTGTTGTTGTTTTGTTTTGTTTTTCGAGACAGGGTTTCTCTGTATAACAACCCTAACTGTCCTGGAACTAGCTCTGTAGACTAGGTTGGCCTTGAACTCACAGAGGCCTGCCTGCCTCTGCCTCCCAAGTGCTGGGATTAAAGGCATGTGGCCTTCAGATGACTTTCTTAAAAACAATTTTAATGTTTCTTTGTATAACCATGACTGTGCTGGAATTCAGTCTGTAGACCAGGCTGGGCTCGAACTCAGATATGCGCCTGCCGCTGCTGGGATTAAGGGTGTGTGCTACCACCGTCCAGCTCCTTACAAACCAGTTTTATAATTTTTTTCTTAGGTAGGAATAACACACGTGCTGGAATAAATTTTAGAGGATACATGTACAAATAATTAGGTGGTGGCACACGCCTTTAAACCCAGCACTCGGGAGGCAGAGGCAGGCGGATCTCTGTGAGTTTGAGGCCAGCCTGGTCTACAAGAGCTAGTGCCAGGACAGGAACCAAAGCTACAGAGAAACCCTGTCTCGAAAAACAAAAACAAAAACAAAAAAAAAAGCGCGATTCCTTCTGCAGAGGCCCAGCTTCAGTCCCCAGCACCTACTGAGGGCAGCTCACAGACATCTGTCCCTTCAGCTCAGCTACCCCATACTGTCTTCTGATTCCCAAGCACACGTGTGGCATACATTCATACAGGCACAAACATACACACACATAGAAATAAAAATAAGGGGTTAGAGAGATGACTCAGTGGTGCAAAGTGCTTACTGCTTTTCCAGAGAACTCAAGTTGGTTCCCGGCACCCATGTCAGACCGCCCACAACTGCCTAAAAGCCTAGCTCCAGGGGACCTGACACTGGTGGGCTTCTTCAGATACCCACACCCATGTACACAAACCCACATGCGTACACATATTTACAAATAATAGAAAGAAATCTTAATTTTTCCTGAGACAGGGTTTCTCTGTGTAATAGTTCTGGCTGTCCTGGAACTTGCTTTGTAGACCACGCTGGTCTCACAGACATCCACCTGCCTCTGCTTCCTAAATGCTGGGATTACAGGCGTGAGCCACCACCATGCAGCTAGAAATAAATCTTTAAAAGTTAAAGTTAAGGGCTGGAGAGGTGGCTTGGGGGTTAGAAGTACTGTTTGCTCTTCCAGAGGTTGAGGGTTTGATGGTGGGTCACGGTCATAACCATTTGTAACTCCAGTCCCAGGGGATCCTATGCCCTCTTCTGACCTCAGGCACCAAGCATGCATGTGAAACACACACACACACACACACACACACACATATATATATCATGCATGAAAAACAACCATAAACATAAAATAAATCTAAAAATATTTTTAAAAAATGAATAATTTTTTTAAATGAATAATTTTTAAAAAATCAACTCTAGTCTCATTATCCCATAGGATACCTCCTTCTCCTCTTCTTCCTTCTTCTCATACCCTGACTGTCCTGGAACTCAGGCTGTCCTCCAACTCACAGAGATATGCATGCCTCTGTCTCCCGAGTGCTGGGATTAAAAGCATAAGCATCCCACCACCATGCATGGCTCCATAGATTTGGTGCATTAAGACCAATCAGGGTGATACAGGCCTTGAATATCACCATTGGGAGGCAAGAGACAGGCAAATTTCTGTGCGTTCAAGACAAGCCAAAGCTATGTAGGGAGATCCTGACTCGGAGAAATTTATTTTAGGAAAAAAAATGGTGAGTGGGCAGGCACACGCATGAGCTTTGTTGCATATTTCAAACATGTAAGACCTAAAAATGTTTATGTGTTTATGTGAACATGTATGTTTCTGTACATGTGAAACCGGGGTCAGCCTTGGTGTGATGCTCAGGAACACCACCAATCCTGGGTCCTTGCATTAATAAAGTCAACCCACCCCACCAGCCCAGTGAACTGTGTGTGTGTGTGTGTGTGTGTGTGTTATTTATTGATTTACTTTGGGTTTTTGGTTTGTTGTTGTAGTTGCCTGGGTGTGGGGTCAGGGTCTCTCTATGTAGCCCTGTCATGGAACTTGATATTGGATCAGGTTGGCCTCAGACCTACAGAGATCCGCCTGTCACCACACCTGGCTCTAATATGTTTTAATGTATGTTGTGCATCCTCCTGCTTGCTACTTATTCTGAACAACAAAATTTGGGATGAGATATGTCCATGGCAATAGAAGTTTATTCATTTTAACAGCTGTAAGGTATTCTGCTGCATACATATGCCAACATTTAGTCATTTCTACTCCGGGCTTATCTGATTTTTTTTTTCTGCTACAGCAAATACACTTTACATTTCTTCGTATCCTTGTTGGGTCAGGCATGGCATGATCAGTCTCATCCTGTCACCCAAAGATGGCATAAGAATCCACCTTCCCAGAACTGAAGTGACGGCACAGGGGTTAAGAGCACTTGCTCTTCTTCAGGACCTGTGTTCACCTCCCAGCACCCATGCGGTGGTTCACGACTGCCGGTAACTAAGTTCCAGGAGAACCTACACCCTCATCTGTGCTCTGTGGGAACCAGGCATGCTTTGGCACAAATATATACATGCAGGTAAACAGTCCCACACATTAAATAAATAAATAAAATCTTTTATAATCCACCTTCCTAAGAACATTCAAAGATCCTCCACTGAGGTAGACCTTCACTAGTAATTGGCTGCCAGTCTCAGGCTTCAAACAGCTGAGCATGGTAGCACACACCTGCAGTCCCAGCATTTGGGGGTAGGAGACAGCCTGGGCTATATGGTGAGTCCCAGGCTAGTCTGAGATATGATGTAAGTGTCTGTTTCAAAAAAAGAATAAAGGGGATGGTAAGCTAGCTCGGTGGGTAACGCCTCTTGCAGTCAAATCAGATGATCTGAATTTGGTACCCTGAACCCACATGGTGAAAGAAGAAAACAGCCCTAAGTCGGCCTCTAGGCTCCACGTGCCACCACCACCCACACACAATATAATAAAAGAATATAAAGCCATCTCTTCCTGTAGCTCTAGCTGGCTTTTCAGCATGGACCAGTGAGAGAGGTAGAGGCTATGTTCGTCTGCTTTCATACATGTATTGGCCATCCCTATTTCCTTTAGGCACCTGTTCATGTTCTTACATAGCGTCTCATGTGGCCTAGGTGCACCTAATGCCAAAGATGACCTTGAATTCTTTTTTATTTTACTTTATTATTATTATTACTATTTTGGTTTTTCAAGGCAGGGTTTCTCTGTGTCCTGGCTGTCCTGGAGCCTCAAACTCTAAAATCAGCCTGCCTCTGCCTCCCAAATGCTGGGATTAAAGGCATGCACCACCACCGACTGCCTGGCTTTTTTTTATTTTTTATTTTTATGGATGTTTCTCAAATTTGTGTGTCATTCTTGTTCAGGGGCCATGCTAATCTTCTTTGTACCCTCCCAGTTTTAATATATGTGCTGCCAAAGTGAGCAAGGCCTTTAACTATTGATCGTTCTGCCTAACCCTTCCAAAGACTGGGATTAAAAGTGTGTTCCACCAGCCAACATGGTGGTGCGTGCCTTTAATCCCAGCACTCGGGATGCAGAGGTAGGTGGATCTCTGTGAATTAGAGGCTATCTTGGTCTATAAAGTCAGTTCTAAGGTAACTAAGAATACCCAGAGAAACCTTGTCTTGAAAAACCAAAAAATAAAAGCTAAAGTGTGTATCACCATGCTCACTTTTTGTGATGACAGGGACTGAACCAATGGCTTCAACCATGCTAGTCAAGCATTCTACTCACTTAACAGTATCCTCAGCCATTTTTGCCAATTTTTATTGTCTTGTTTAGAAAAATCCCTATTAAGGGATTTCCCCCAATTTTCATGTATGTATATATGAGTGAAGTGTTCATAGGTATGCATGGTTTTGCATGCATGCACGTGTATGTGCACATGAGTGTATGTGCATGTGGAAGCCTGAGATTGCTGTCAGGAGTCATCCTCCATTGCTCTTCCACCTTATTCCTTGGAGGCAGGCTCTCTCAGCAAACCCAGAGAGATCTTGGCTATAGCTAGTATCACTGGCCATCTTGCTATAGGAAATCCATCTCTGGCTTCTGAGGCTGGAATTAGAGCAAAGATGCCACAGCCACCTAGAATTTAGGCGAGGTTCTGGGGATTTAAACTCCGGTCCTCACACTTGAGCAGCAAAGGCTTTAACTGATGAGCCATCTCTCTAGGCCCAAAAAGATTCCAGGCCGGGCAGTGGTGGCGCACGCCTTTAATCCCAACACTCAGGAGGCAGAGGCAGGCGGATCTCTGTGAGTTTGAGGCCAGCGTGGACTACAGAGCAAGTTCCAGGACAGGTTCCAAAGCTACAGAGAAACCCTGTCAGGCCACACAGACTTGAGTTTGGAAGGAATGACGGCAAGTAGAGATGCAAAAATACAATTCCTAGGGTAACTGCTCTTTTTATAAAGTATCAAAAATACAGCTTTGCTGGACTGGAGAGATGGCTCGGTGGTTAAGAGCACTGACTGCTCTTCCAGAGGACCTGATTCAATTCCCAGCACCAATATGGCAGCTCACAACTATCTGGTTTGTTTGTTTGTTTGTTTGTTTTGTTTTTCGAGACAGGATTTTGGTGTAGTTTTGGAGCCTGTCCTGGAACTAGCTCTTGTAGACAAGCCTGGCCTCAAACTCACAGAGATCCGCCTGCCTCTGCCTCCCGAGGACAAGGATTTAAAGGCGTGCACCACCACCGCCCAGCTCTCACAACTGTCTGTAACTCTAGTCCTAGGGGATCCGATGCCCTCTTCTGACCTCCTCAGACACCATGAACACATGTAGTACACGTTCTTACTTGCAGGCTAAACATCTATACACATAAAATAAAAAGAAACCCTTTTTGAAGATACAAGTTAGGGGGCTGGCAAGGTGACTCAACCAGTAAGAGTGCTTGCCATGAAGCCTGATGACCTGCCCTTAATCCCTGGGTCCTAAACAGTAGAAGGGGAGAACTTGACAACTGATTCCCAACACCCCCACACAAAATAAGTAAATGTAAAAAAATAATAATTTTAATACAACTTGGAAGTGGCAGGATGACTCCATGAGCAAAAGTATTTGATGCCAAGTCTGACAACCCGAGTTTAATCCCTGGAACCCAGTAGAAGGAGAAAACCAATTCCCACAAGTTGCTCTTTGACCTTTATATATATACTGCCATATCATATACACAGAGCCCCAATAAACAAACAAATAATAAAATTAAAAGCATTAAAAAATTAAACAGAACATCCAAAATATTTTGCATAACCCAAATGAGGGCAGGAGAGGGCGGTGAATCCTCCTTATTTTGAGCACAGGCATCTTCAGTTGTAACCACCATGATGCTCTGGGTAACCCTGGTCCACTTTTCCACAGTTTCCTAGAAAAAAACTATAAACTCATCCTGGCGGTGGTGGTGCACGCCTTTAATCCCAGCACTCAGGAGGCAGAGACAGGCAGATCTTTGTGAGTTTGAGGCCAGCCTGGTCTACAAAGTGAGTTCTAGAATAGACTCCAAAGCAACAGAGAAACTGTCTCAAAAAACAAACAAAAATAAAACATGTACACACTAAAGTGGTGTACACTGCTTTCATCCTGGGCCCTGCTCCCATGATATATCTGACTTTGCTATCACCTTCATATAAATCAGACATAGTCTAGCAAAATGAAGTCATTTCTTTCTAACCAATATGCCCACTTGGCTTTGACCCTGAGTACAAGGAGCCAAGGGTCTGGCCACTGTGCAGTGCCACCCTATCACCGCTGCTTTGCAACAAAGGGGAAACAGAAATTAGAAACAGACAGCAGGAACAGAAGCAGTAAGAATGTAACTAAAGGTTGACATCTCAATAGTTAGAGTAAATGAAAACAAACACAGCACTTTAATTGTTGGGACCTAATGGAGTCCTGGCCTTCCTACTCACCTCCGGTTGGTGACCTTTCTTGCCCTTGTTGTTCTGGGTTTCTGAGAAACTTGCAAGATTCCTGCTCTCAGAGTTGTTTAGCAACCCTGTTTCCTGAGTACACATTGCCTTGGCCCTAACTCGAGGATCCGGCAATGAGGTCTCCATCCTGTTGGCCTACCTGTCTGGGTTAGGTATAAACCACCTTGGTGATGTGGTGTGGAAGAATTATCTGTATTCTGTCAATCATGTTTTAAATAAACACCGATTGGCCAGGCAGGAAGTATAGGTGGGTCAACCAGACAGGAAGTAGAGACGGAGCAATGAGAACAGGAGAATGCTAGGAAGGAGAAAGCCCATTCCTTCCAGTCCTGCCCAGACCACGGAAGGAGCAAAAGTAACCTGCCCAGCTGAGAAAGGTACCAAGCCATGTGGCTAACATAGATAAGAACAATGGGTTAATATAAGCTATAAGAGCTAATAAGTAGCCTGAGCTAATGGACCAATCCGTTTTATAACTTATAGAGATCCCTATGTGATTTTCTCTGAGACTAAACGGCTGAGGGACTGGGCGAGACAGAAACCCCAACAAGCAGCCTGGCCCTTATGTTACAGTGATGTACAATAAAGGCTTCCGATTCTGCAACATCCAGAGTGTGTGTTTCATTAATTCTGACATCCTTCCCTTGGACTTGGCATCCAGGCTGCACTGGTGTGGCAATTAATCAAAGGAAAGATTGTAGGACATCTCCAAAACTGTGTATTACCTAAGCATGATGGCATGCACCTGCAATCCTAGCACTCAGGACACTGAGGCAGGGTGATTGCAAGTTCTGGGCATGGGTAGTTATTGGTGGGGGGGTCACTAAGCAGGACTCTGTCCCTAAAGACCATTTATGCAGCTCAGGAGTTGCTGCCTGCTGCCTTCTAAGATCCTATGGCAGAATGTCCTGCCAGCTCTAGCGAGATAGCAAGCAACTCCCCGGGTCATACCTGGCCTAGCTCCGTAGTTAGTACCTTTTGTTGCCCTCTGTATTCCCTAATCTTGTCTGAGAATTTCCCATGGATACAAAGCCTATGCAAAACTTGGTAAGGGGAAACCCCAGAAAACCATGGTACCTCATGAATCACACACGCCCACACCATGTTACCCGTGACAAGATCCACTTGGATCTCAAGATTCCATGGCCCGAGAAAGGTGTGTCCCATGCCATGAAATTAATCTACCAGCATGACCTGGCCAGGGTCTGCACCTTTCTTGCTTTTTTCCAGCTTGGTTGCCTCAGTGTTCTAAGTAAGAGGGCAAAGCTGCGTCCTAGGGCCACCCCAAGAAGGAACAACTCAGCTAATGCGGTCATTTCTCACGTTCTAGCAAAACTGACAGAAGCTGACACAAGCAGGTAGCTAGGAGCTGGAGTCAGTACAGGACGAGCACAGGGTGACGTGCTGAGCCTGTGCTGAGCCGAGAGGCCCTGAGACTACCTGCTCCTCTCAGGTGCGTAGAAGGCTCCTCAGAAACGGAGTATACTGTTTTGACCCTGAGGACACAGGGCTTGGTTTCCAGGTTTCTACTATTCCTCCAATGTTACCTTGATGAGGAAGAACTTGATGCCAAAGCTTGGGCCACCCCAGTTCAAGGATAGCAGTGCCACCTGGTAGAAAGGAGGAATCAAAGTTTGCAATCTGAGCCCTTGTACACTCTTTAACCATGCAAGGCAAAGTCCACTTTGGGGAGGACTGACCTCTCCTGAGAGCTATGAGTCAATATCTCCATACCCTGGTCCTCCCATGCTGCCTACGCCTGGCACTCAGGATTATTATTCTCCCTACATACTGAAGACCCACTGAGGGTCCTGGGACAAAGATGATCTCTGCCAGGATCCAGAAAGCCAAGAACCAAGGGAAATACCAGACATTATGTTTGTATCCTAGCCAGGAGCATCATGAATAAGACAGGTCCAGTCAGGAGCTTAGGTCTCCCACTAACTGGGGAAGCAGACAAGGACATGGCCAATTCCATGCCCTGGACACTAGTCCTGCCTTAGTGGAGTAATACCTGCTATGTCTCCACCTGATATCTCCCATGCCCACGTTTCTCATTTTGTGAAAAGCCTGTCCCCAAGCCCATCCCACACTTAGGATAAGGAACTGAGCCCCGCCTTTCCAAGGAAGAACATAGTGTCAGTGTTGGGGAAGAGCAGGAGCAGGGACAACAGAATCCAAGGAAGTGTCATGAACATTCTCCCAGGACCAGGAACAGGATAGGCAATGGCATGGGTACAGCTCTCCCTGCTAAACAGGGATAGTTCAAGGTACCCCAACCCTGGCGACTACCTGGGTATCTGAATTTTAGGAAGAGGTTTACAAATGGAAAATAAAACAACAAAACCAACACACAAACAAACAAAAAAAAAACAGAAAAGAGAGAAACAAAAAGATTCTCTGGAAGGTCAACATTAAAACTGAGCTTCAACTATCCATGGTGACACATGCCTTTAATTCCAGCACTCAGGAGACAGAGGCAGATAGATCTCTGCGAGT